CATTAATTTTGAAATAAATATATGGTAAAGTTGAGGATTAATGTTAAGGATTATGTTAGACGAAAACACGATTTCGTAAAATTTTCTCGATAGAAAAAAAAACCAAAGTTACCTCCAAAATAAACAATAAACCGCTGTTATACATAAAATACTTTAAATAAATAAGATCATGAAACTTTGCATACTAACTGAACTAACAATAAAGCAGTGCTTATGTTATTTACTTTTTTTTAAATACCATTATTTTCACTGTAAAAAAGAAATTACCTAAACTATCGGCCTTTTGAAGTGTGATTCCTGCCGCACGGTCACTTCGCTTCGGCCTTTGAACGGGGAGGTTGTGTCGCGTACGATCAGAATATACATTACGCAACAGGACGACGTAAAATTAAAATGGGAAATAACCGTAATAAAAATAAGAAGCGACTGCCTTGGCGTTAAGAAACAGGCATAAATATGATAAACCTAATGAAATAAGTGTCTAACGACCTTTCTACTTACAGTATTAGTGATTACAAACATGTCGGTACATAGCATACGACGCGCGGGCAAGTGGGGACGAAATTAGAATTTGAGCTGACTTACTCTATCCCCTTAAGACCAAAAGTTGTAACGACACTTTTTGCTGTAGTTGTAAGCCGTGCGGCGTGCGCGTGTTTCTCTCTCTCTCTCTCTCTCTCTCTCATAGAAAGCAAGCCAGTTATTTTCGTTTCGTCTTTCTTTTTCGCAATGAACAGTGTGGTGTCGCGACAACTATTTTTGTTGAGTGTATACAGGTTTTTTGTACATAATAAAAAAAATAATAATAATGAATCCCGACAGTGTTTCTGCACAAGATCCGGATATTGCTGACAGAGTTAGGTGCCCACCCTCTGGCTTGTTTCCCTCTATCACCTTTTACTACACCTACGGGAGGATATGGGTTATTGGATACAAAGCGCAGCGCACTTATTGCTCCCTAACATCCTCAGAAATGAGCCTGTGCCCATCTGTAGAATGTATAAGGGCTGTAATTCCCCTTTTTTACTTTTTAAAAAAGTTTTATATTTATAAATTACTGTGTACACTGGTAGACAAGCATAATGTTATCGGCGCAGCATGGAGGCCATTCAATACTAAGTTAACCACATATATTTTTACCATTTAGGTATAAACTAAGAAACTATGTATTCCTGGTTTTGTATTTACGGTTCATTAGCAAGAACTCTAAGTATTTTTGGATGCGAAATTGTGGGCCGTGGGTGGGATATCGTGGGTCGGTTGCTACAAGGGATAATTAATTTGTTTGGCCTGAAAACAACTACTACGGCTCTGGGTATTTGTCAATGTGCAATTCATGTTTGCAAAACGTTTCCACGATACAGATGAAACGGTGAAAAAGTCGAAGGGTAATTTTTAAAGAAATACGAAACTTAGATTTAAGATTATGTAAACAGTATAAGTTACGGCTAAAAGTCAAAATACCGTACATAACAAATACAATAACACAATACAAATACGGTATACAAAACCTAGAAGTAGCCGGGTGCTTTCGGGTAAAACTAGGAAAGTCCGAATAATAATTATAATGACTTTGACTGCTATTAATTTTATCAAAAATACCAAAACACCTATCCATTCATATCTGCGACATTTATGTTTCTTGTAAATTATACGGAAAAATCGAATACACCTACATCATCCTATATTCAGCTGTTGTAGCCAGCTTAATCTAGGTGTGTCCACACTTTAGCTTTTAGGGACAAAGTTATGTGAAAAAAACACTTTGTTCGAAATTTTTCGTCATCGATTTCACTTCAATGCATTAACCGACACACACATACACTTTTGATAACGGAAAGTTAAAAACTTCATCATAATTGGTCCAGCCCTTGAGGAGAGCTCAGAGACAAACACACGTACAGAAAAATTATATACTCACATAAATATTTGGTATCATACTATGTATAATTCTCACCAAAATAAAACCACAATGGCGCTTTAAATGTTCGCATATGACTTATTATACTATTATACTCAATTCTTATTTCTTCACGATAGCAAAGTTTACTTTAACATTCGTATTCGCTTATCTGTGCACTCAAACCCGTATAATTTTTCGAACCTTCATTTAACTTGTAATAATAAGCGTCTTTTGTACAGAAGTAAAGTCCACAAACGAGTCCTGCCTACCTGATGGTAAGTAGGGGTGTCTTGGTCCATAACTTCAATAAAAAATTAAAAAAGTAAATGTCCTTGAGAATTAAGGTGAAATGGCTCGTTACCATTGAAAACGGTCTCCAGTTCAATACACACACGAAGAAACATAGCAAGAGTACCTATGCAGGTATTTTACGTTGGTATTGTGTAAGAGTGTGGTAATTTCCAAGTTGTGCCGACTCATTTATGCTGCAGCAAATACTACCATAATGCTACCTCGTAAAATAATTTCTAACCAGATATAATGTATTCTACCTTAATTATCACCGCCACGGACCAAGTCATTTTGCATCTCACGCGGTACCTTTGACGGCACTCATTATACGCAATGGGGTGATAAAGTAGAAGTTAGAGACGACATTATCATCCGGCTTGAATGTCTTGGTATTACGACCACGACCTGTCTCCCGGCTTGCATTTGTTAGTTTTATTACAGCCCTTTACAAGCCTAATCCTAAACGTATGCCTGCCCCAAGGAATACTACAAAACATAATACGGTGAGCCACCTGTATCCATCGACTTTCTTCATGGCTTACCAGGTCGTCACTCCATTTTTGTTTTTTCATGTCCACCTAACCGTCGGGAGACATTATTAAGGTCGTTGAGCAGTGTTAGTGCCTCCAACAATACTGCTATAAGGACTATATCGTCGGCAAATTAAAGTTGAGTGATGTACTCGCCCTTAATGTTAATACTTATTTATTTTATTTATTTATTTATTCTTTTTTTGTACACCACAATACAGAAACATCAAGTTCAGTTAAAACTAATTAAAGTATGTACAATAGGCGGTCTTATCACTGAAAGTGATTTCTTCCAGACAACCTTTGCGTAGAGGAATGATGCAAACAAAAGTTACAAAAAAGAGGGGGGCATACAAAATAATAATAAAAAAACACAATAATACATACAAATAAAAGTAAGTGAAAGTTATATATAAAATGTCATATAATAGATTAAATGAAAAGAGTAAGAGAAAGGTAAAGTAATTTATCTAATAGCGTTCTAAATAATACGATTTAACAAGAATTTTGAAAGAGTGAAGAGATTTAGCACGACGAATATGGAGAGGTAAGGAGTTCCACAATCGCACAGCGGTTACGGTGAAGGATTTCTTGAAAAAGGAAGAAGAGTGCAAATGTGTAGAGAGAGAAAGATTGATGGAGGATCGAAGGAACCGATTATGGGTAAGAGAAAGATACTGGAAACGGTTTTTTAAATAAAGAGGAGTAGAAGGATTAAACAGCACACTATACAACACGGAGAGAATGTGAGTATTCCTGCGAAGGCGGATCGGGAGCCATTTGAGCTGTTTGTGAAATTCGGAGATATGATCATATTTGCGAAGCCCAAATATAAATCTAATGCATAAATTTTGAATAATACTGTATCCTTTCCAGTCCAGAAGCTTGTAAACTTCTTTCAATGCAACAGTCAAGAGTTTCGGCGATATAACTTCACCTTGTGTTACACCTCTAGCAGCAGCAGTTGGATAGGTTTTATACTCCGGTTCTGAACTCGGATAGCCATCGTAACTCTACTGTACAAACGCTTCAGTAGTTCAATATACCGACAGTCAACTTGGCATCGCTGAAGGGACTGTAGCAGCACACCGCCCAAATTTCGACGGAATCGAATCTGTTTTTAACACACTTTCAGAAGCTCCGCTGTAATTCTATCCTCACCCAGGAACTTGTATATTTGAAGGTGCTGGAGAGCTATTCTAATTTTGCTCAGACTGTCCTGCGGGATATCATCGGAATAGTGTCGGATAAGATTTGCTCTTGGATCATTACTCACACTTGCGTGTGGTTTCAACTATGTCGTGTACAGTTTCCCATAGAACTTCTCAATCTCACTCAAAATCTTAAGTGTCCCGGAAACGATAATACCATATTCGATCTCCAGTTTCGACAGTTGGCTCTTTCTGGAAAACAGATCTCTGGCAAAGTCTTTGGAGCTTTGGTTTTGCACCATCCCTATCTCTATAACTTCACTGCAACCTTGTCTTTCCCTTCTTCCAGCTCCAGGATTTTCTCGTCAGTACTTAGGGTGCGTTACATGTTGTACTCGACCTGGTAACAGGTCTGTTGCTAGGTCGAGTCGTCTTTGATGATAACAGAACCTCCACTGGAGATTTTTAGCACCGCTTTCCCCGCCGTTGCCGTAGACGCCACAGTAGCCATGTAATAGCTGGGTTATTTCTCTCTATTTTCCGTGATGTTGGTGCTGTTAGCCTATACGCTTGTTACAGCATATCTGACTCAGGCCGCGATAGGGACCGTTTCTTTGCAACTCTGGTCATGGAGAGTATATTGCCATAGTTGCCACGCTTGGTGAGCGGCAACGGCAGTTTTCTCTTTCGTCTACTTACTCCATTACCCCTACAGATTTAAATTGGGTAATGGGGCGAAACACATATCGTATTATAGACGGAAGTGTGTCTTTCCTAGTGTAGTGGTGCAGGGATTAGTGGTGACGGGGATAATGCACTTAATTAAGGGAGGGCGGGAGGTGCTCTTCAAACTAGATCACTTCACTCTACATCATTTTATTTAATCGCGCAGATGTTTAATCAAATTATAATAATCACCTATAATATAGGTAATGGATTTTCCTGAAGTAACGCCTGATTATCACCAATTTTCAAAAGTCTAAACCTCCTGAAATATAAAAAGAAATCATGGTGTCTGTAACGTTGTGCGCACTTTGTATCAGTTTATATGGCATTATACTTTTGAAGCGGTGCGTTGGTCCGATGGTCCGTTCAGGCATTGTTATTATCTGCTTATAAACGCAGGTCCTTCGGATGTCGCGTTCATACTCGTCCAGCGCAGCGACAGCGACTGGGAAGACATGGGAAAGTCAGACAAGGCTCAAGGTAAGCGGTCTTCTTCTATCCTTCCGAAAATTGTAATAGTTATTGTATAGAATAAGCAAACGAGCACACAGTCCACCTTGATAAGTGGATGCCGTGGCCCACAAACTTCTTCATTTATCCCTAATTAATAATCAACCCTCTATCACCCCTGAGTACTAAGATGGTGTGCTTCGTATCAAATAAAAAGGGTCTCCGGTTCTCTACTCACAACACGAAACACAGCATTAAGCTGCTAACTTACGCTGGTATTCTATGAGAGCGTGGTCCTTCCTCCCATTTTTATTAATGATTGAGTATCTTTATTTTGCAAATATGTGTAACACATAACGTGATGACAAATATATAGTACAGATTTCACCATATTTTACCAAAAGGCATGCAAAAAATGTAAATAATTTAATTTTCTATCAATTTACGTAGATATGTTAATCACAACACAATCACATTAGATTAACAATTTTGTCTGATCAAATTACACGTAAGTCTAATAAGTCAATTGGTACATTATTATCACTTTTATTTAATTATTATAAGCCATTGTGAAATTTATTACATTAATAATAAAAAATACAATTTATAAATAAATAATGTATGCGATAATGGTAGGTACAAATTTTAATATATATATATATATATACTATATATGCCATACATATACGTAGTCTATATCTATAAACATATATATAAATATGTGTTGAGATCCCTCCAACTCTTAGGTAATTTGTTGTAAATAGCCGGCCCCATACAGCAAGCACTGTTGCGTATTAGTGCTGTTTTTCCCCTAGAAATGAGAACTCTACTATTGTCGCGTCTCTTTCTTCGGTCAAGGTCTACTAAAAGCACTTAAAACGGTTCTGGTTCGAATTTACAAAGACTGTTATTTCTAATACATATATACAAGATACATTGAACGTTTTATATTGTTTAAAATATAGCTTGCAACTATCGGTACTTTTCAGCTTAAGCCTAGAACGTATACACGTTTCTGCGCCGTGATTACCTTTCTTTTTTCGCAAAAGTTACCCCAAAATATTACGCCATATCGAGGTATGCTTCGACCGTAGGAGATCTTAATTGATGATAGATGTAGATGTTTATTAAGCTAGACATTCACATACTATCAGGTGGCTGTGTGCTCGTTCTTCACCTTCATATGATATATATTATATATTATATATGCAGACTTACTAATATTTTTACAAAGAGTCCTAAAGTGTGATTTCCAATTAAAATTTTCGTCAATTTCCAGTCCCAGGAAACTCGTGCTCTCAACTTAGGCAATGGTAAATCCGCATATAACATATACTCGTAGTTATTATATTGTATTATGAGTTTATTATTATTGAGTTTGTGTGAAATCAAAGTCTTTGTTTTTTTTTAAATTAAATTATTAATATCCAGCCATTTTTAATTGATTTTAGAGAATTGTTTATGTCATTATAGTCAGTATAGATTTTACAAGAATGTTTATTTAAAGTTATTCAAGCTTTTCCACTGGTTCGAAAAATCTTCTGTACTGGGTACAACTAGCAAGAAACCTATTGGAACTAAATGGTAAGAAGATGTTGAGGCCTATAGACCTACATCTATCCTTTATTAATATTAAAATGAACTTATGCATTTTAATATTTGCGTTTTTAATAAGTGCATTGTCACCCCCGATGACTTAGATGGAATGCCTCGTTATTCTGTAAAACGTTCGGTTCGTACGAAACACAGGTACCTAGTTTTTAATAGTAACATAGTTGAATATCAACAGTAAAATAGACATTTTCCTTCACAGCGAAAGAACCAGAGCTGGCCAGTTGCGATGCGCTACCACAGGAACACATTCACAACGGAGAAGACCTCGGCAACCACTACATGCCTACGTTCAAGGATTTGAAGAAAAAATCTTGTGGTGTCTTATGCTGGAAGATATTGTATGTTGTAGTTGGGATTATTACCGTGGTAAGTAAACAACAAATTAGTACTAGGGTTGAGGAGGAGGAGGTATACGCCTATAGTCAATATCTTTGTTAATCTCAGCGTAAAATAATCCACCACTCCTTATCACCTCATTTCGTTCCGTCGTAACTAGCGGCTATGGAATATGCCTAAAAAAATTCTTATGGTTTCCGATAGATGGCTGTTCTCGTTCACCATCTCGAACGGAACCGTCAAAGGTGCTATTGCGATTAAGCCTAGTCCTTGTTACGGGAGTAAAGGCATATGTGTATTTCTTATTGTATAAGAGTTACAAACGAGCATTCGGTTCACCTAATGAAGCTGAAAATAGAAGCTGTTTCTCACAGACATCTACTTATGTATTCGATAAAGAATCGAAATGCAGTTCGTTGTCATCCCCGAGCACTGAGAGGAATGCCTCGTTTCCAGTTAAATAGGTCTCCGGTTCACACTCACCATACGAAACACAGGAACATTAAACTGCTACGAGTATTTTACGCTGGTATTCTGTGGGAGCGTGGTGCTTCCCCGGTCGAGCCGACCCATTCGTGATACAACCATAATATAGTTGCAGCATGGCTCCATGGCAGAGTACAATCTTCTTCTACGCTTCTTATATTTTTATGTCAATAAAACGTGGTGCTTCAGTTACTGTCAACACAAAACTTTTTACTCGTCATATTATGCTTAAGGTTTGTTAGTATTAAATGTATCATCACTTTTACGGGCTGACAAACAAGTATATGGGCTTATTCCTTTTTTTATTTTAACAAGAGACATTGCGTCATTCGTTAACGTACATCATTTCTTAATTATTATATGTAACTTCAAAGGTCCACTATTCAAAGTTACTAAAGAAATACTCAAATCGCCGGCAGGGATCGCACATTTTTTGCTCTTTCACGCCTTTAAAAGTGAACAATGAACTCCTGAAGTTACAGCCTATATACCTACCACTACCGAGTACCGGCTTCCTATATTTTTTGAGTGGCATATGGAGCAATATTTAAAAGAAACTGAAGTGGCAAACGAAATCACAGTCCACCTGATGGTAAGTGGCTATCGTAGCTCATGGACATTAGCAACCAACTTCAATCAGATGTACTGTCATAACAAAAACGAAAAACAGCAACAGGGCCACATTACGAACAACTGCACCCAATTCTGGGCTGGGGGTGGCTCTACCTTCTGAGGACTAAGGCATTTTAGTCCTCAGTATCATAGACTTCTATGTGTTCCGCTCAAAAATAGTTAAGTGTCATTTCCAAACAGGTTTCAAGGAAGAATAAAAGTCCTACTTTGCTCCAGAGCGTGTCATCAGACTTCACATCCCAAGATTCGAAGATGTTTGCCTAGGCATGCATATGGCAAATCAACACTTCAAATAACATTTTCACTGGTGCCGAAGGTGGTCGAACCCGGGTTACTCGCATACTCTGAAATATACGGCGAGCCTATAATACATAACCTGAGGATTAAGTTGTGTGTTGATTATTTCATATAAATCCAAAAAGGTTCTACATTCGACGCGTATGTATTTTTGTACCTTTACCGATTGCTCGTACACGGCTAAACCGCTTAAAGTTAAGTTGAAAAACATTCAAATAAATTTAAAGATTTGGAGTAACTTATAGTGTAATTGTATAGTTAATTCGTAAATGCCGTTGCAGATCGTAAGGTCCCGGATTTGAACCCTGGTCGAGCGAATAGCAGTTATTGCGTTTTTTTTGTCAAGAAATTTCTGTAGCAGCCAGGAGCCTCGGAAAGCATATAAAGCCGTTGGTCCTGCGCTTGATTTCTCACCGGTCGTTTCGGATTACCGTCGTCGGACTATTAGACTGAAGGACTAGAGAATGTACCTATGCTCGCGCGTATACCGGGCACTATAATCCCGTCCTGCACAGATGTCTGGTCTCTGTTGTGACCAACCTCGGCGAAATTATGTCTGGAAGACATTAAAAATTGTAATTGATAGAATCAGGCGTTACTTTGCGGAAATCCATTATAGTAAAGATATTAATGGTTTCTTTGCAACCATCCGCTCAATTAAATAAAATGATGTGTCTTACCTAGTTTTAAGAGCACCTCCCACCCTCCCTCAATTGCGTGCACTAATCCCGTCACCACCAATCCCAGCAGCGCTACTACCAACAACGGCGGCTGATCAGCCGCCGTAGAGTCTACATCACCTTAAGATGCCTCGTGTAGAGGCGAAACACGTGTCGTATTATCGTCGATGATGTGTCTTTCCTAGAATAGTGGTGTTGGGAGTAGTGGTGTTGCGAGTAGTGGTCCTGGGATTAGTAATGACGGGATTAGTGCACTCAATTGAGGGAGGGCGGGAGGTGCTCTTCAAACTAGGTAGGACGCATCATTTTACTTAATTGAGCGGACGGTTGCAAAGTAACTATTTAATATCTTTATTAAAAATTATTTATTATTTAAAGGCATTTTCGTTTGTTTCAATTCCAGTTGCAATCCATTGCTGTGATCGGGATATCTGTTACTTCGGCTATTGCGACAAAGATCTACAGCAACGATATGTCTGGTCGACTGGTGGCGATGGTGGTGCTGGCGGTGACCGCGGCGGTCACCCTCTCTGGGATCATTTACGGCGTCATCGGAGCGTTAAGGGATAAAAGGAGGCCTGTGCACTCGGTATGATCACTAGCTTTTTCCATTCAATACGATATTGGCTATAGGCCTTTTAGCCAATACATTTTATATTTATATTTATTTACAATAATTCCATGCGTCACAGCAGTACTATGATTTAGGTAGTTTCGACTGCAAAAACAGTTGATGATAGAAGCGGACAAAACAACTTATGTATTTATTAAATATTTCTATGTATAATTAAAGGTAAACAAGTTAAAGTTACAGCCTATACGGTACCACTGCTGGGCACAGGCCTCTCTCATTTCTGAGAGGGTTTTAGAGCAAGGAAGTGTCGGCCGCGCTGCCCCAATGCATGTTAGCGAAATTCTAAAAAAAATTCATTTTATTATTTTTCAGACATGTAGGTTTCATTACGATGTTTTTCCTCACTGCCGAGCACATGATAAATCAGCACATAGAGTTGCAATTAACAATTTCATTGGTGCCGGCGGGGATCTAACCCGGATTACTCGCATACTGTGAAATTTACTGCGAGCGCTAACCATCTGAGCTATCACAGCTCTATTTTTTACTAGACAATTCTGAAGAAAGCTGTATCACAGCTGTGGGGTACGCGCACGCACCGGCAGTAGCTGGCACGGTAAATACGCCACACAGCTTTATTTTCATTTACGTCTGTTTTTAGACAAATATTTAAAAATATACTTTAAAAAGAACTTCAAATCACGTTGACAAAGTAAGCACGTAAATTATGATCCCTGAGTAAAACTGCGGATGGACGAACATGGCGAAACTATAAGGGTTCCTTGTTGTGTAAATACGGAACCCTAAAAATTCTAAATATAATATTGTACACATTTATCTTATATGTCCTTACAAATAATTACCTTGCCCCTAGGTTCCACTCACATTCTATTAAAAATGATGTAAGTCTTCTATTACTCCACAAGTTTCATAATTAGGTGAATCAGTCCTTTTTTTGAAGACAATGATCTTAATGTTGTTAGATTATCGAAAAAAACTTTCGCGGTTTACAAAACAAAGAACTAGTCATAGTACTACACTACTAGGGCTCGTCATAGATCGTCTTACAAGGGGATATTTGCAATAATTGCCACACTTGGCAAACGTGTTGGCGACCGCAGTGTTTTTTATTCAACTGTTATAAGGAAGATGCCGCCGTCCATCTCATGGCTCAGATTCCCTCTGTCACCTCTAACGAGATGATACGAAGTAGTGGATATTCTTACATCGTCGCTATCACAAAGAGTTCTAAGTTTGGTAAATCTGCACTTAAAATAGAATAAACAAATTTCAGTGGTGCCCTTGAGGATCAAATTCGGTTTACTCGCGTATTGTTATGTTTTAAGAGGAGTGGTTGTGCCTCGACCTACCGCGGCTCAGGGTCAACTCTAAAATAGCCATAAACAATTTAACGATCGACAAGATATTGGTAAATGCATCGGTACCACTTCTTTTATCTGCGGTTTTGATCCGTTAACGGAATTGCAAATGTCTGTTTCAGCAACGAACAATAAACTATAAATATCATACTTAATTGAAAATGATATTATTTGCGCCAACAAAGACATAATGTATGACATAAGTACGTATTATGTTGTACATATATTTCACTTATATTTATATTTATTTACTATAGACCATAAACCAAGATATGACGGTGACCGGAAAGATAAGAAGTCAACTTCCTGCCATGTCGATCGATTATAAAGAAATAAGTAGTTATTTAAGTTCCATGTCTGAAAATCGGTATAAAAAATATATTATGACATATATGTTTTTATATATATATATATATATATATATATATATATATATGTATTATGTTAACAAATTTTTGGGAAACAGCTCTACCGGTTTAATTGATTTTTTTAAATAGGTAAAAATATCCATCCCTGAGAGAGAAATAATGGGTATAAATATGGTATAGATTTCAATATACCTTATTAACTTGTTATTATTAATCATCATCATCATCATTACAGCCTTTCACAAGTCCACTGCTGAACATAGGCCTCCCCCAAGTAATGCCACAAAGCACGGTCCTGAGCCACCTGCATCCATCGACTTCCTGCATGTCTTACCAGGTCGTCACTCCATCTAGTGGTGACCGGAAAGATAAGAAGTCAACTTCCTGCCATGTCGATCGATTATAAAGAAATAAGTAGTTATTTAAGTTCCATGTCTGAAAATCGGTATATAAAATATATTATGACATATATGTTTTATATATATATATATATATATATATATATATATATATATATATATATATATATATATATATATATATATATTATGTTAACAAATTTTTGGGAAACAGCTCTACCGGTTTAATTGATTTTTTTAAATAGGTAAAAATATCCATCCCTGAGAGAGAAATAATGGGTATAAATATGGTATAGATTTCAATATACCTTATTAACTTGTTATTATTCATCATCATCATCATCATTACAGCCTTTCACAAGTCCACTGCTGAACATAGGCCTCCCCCAAGTAATGCCACAAAGCACGGTCCTGAGCCACCTGCATCCATCGACTTCCTGCATGTCTTACCAGGTCGTCACTCCATCTAGTGGGGGGTCGCCCTACACTACGCCTACCGGTAGGAGGCTGCCACTCGAGAACCTTTCTTCCCCATCGGTTATCGGTTCTTCGAGCTATATGGCCGGCCCATTGCCACTTCAGCTTACTAATCCGTTGGGCTTGTTATTATTACTCAACTTTTATTGTAAAATTGAAATTGTGATATTACTTAGACCACTGTAAAAAGTAAAAAATATATATAATATATATTAAATTACTTCTAACACATGCCTTACATTTATAAATTACTAACAATTATATGAGAACACATCGTTATAAAACAATAGCAATAGTATTTATGATTTGCCTATTTTAATGGTAGTTGGAAGAAAAATAAGTTTTACGAACAAAAGATAATTAATAGTTTTTGTAACATAAATAAAAGTTAAGTTTAGCATAAAGTTAGTGAATAGTTAATTTTCTAAATTAATTATTCACTTACTAATAATCTATATTTTTGTGAGCTCGTCACAACCAATGTCCAGCGTTGCTATGTTTTATATATGTACATACATTGTATACGCGTGATATACGAGTTGTTTGAGAATTCTGTCCAAGTGATATTAATCTTAAAGAAAAGACATGGGTCGCGAGGAGGTTTCTTGAGATATATTATGTACATTAGTATTAAATCTGCTCAACAGCTCACTGTCATCAATTGTTATTAAAAAGTTTATGAAGAAATTTCAAATCATGAAGAGATCTGCGAACTGCCAGTGGTATCATCCTAAAGTAATCGAGTTTCTCTTTGTATCACTCACTATGACTTGACTGCTAACTAAAGGTTAGGTGTTTAATGAGTCCTTTTTGAACACGTTCGATCCTTTCAATATGGTTTTTGTGCGCAGGAGACCATAGTACTTGACAACAATATTCAAGTTTGCTACAGACCAAGCTGTTGACCAGTTGAAGTATTGTTGTTATCTTTTTGAAATCTTTAGATTAGACTGTCTAAGAACAAAGCCGAGCAACCTGTAAGAAGCTGTCACTGTAGAATTAATATGTTTATCGAATCTTAATTTGCTATCAAATATTACGCCCAGGTCTCTAATGGAACTGGATTCCTTCAGTTTTTTACCCAAATCATTGTAAGAACTCGTTAATGGATTATTATTTTTTCTTGTGAATTTAATAAAACTACATTTTCCCGGATTAAGCAGCATTCGATTAGTTTCATACCATTTTACAAGTCTATTAAGATTCGCTTGTAGGTCTAATACGTTAGATTCTTGCTTTGTAACTTTAGCTATAACTAAGTAATTTAAATCGTCAGCGAATAAATAAACCTGACAATTTTTAAGTGAAAATAAATTCTGAAGTCGTCTTACAATAAGGTGAATAGTAAGTAACTCAATGACCTCAATAGTGCCTCCCAACGGATAGGTCTTAAGATGAACATGGACAAAACTAAGATTATTTTCAATGTCCATGTCACACCTATGCCGGTAGTTGTGGGGAGCACTATGCTCGAAGTTGTTGACGAGTACGTTTACCTGGGACAAATAGTCCGACTAGGTAAGTCCAACTTCGACCGAGAGGTCAATCGACGGATTCAACTCGGCTGGGCAGCGTTCGGGAAATTACGACACATCTTCTCGTCAGGTATACCTCAATCTCTGAAAACTAAAGTGTACAACCAGTGCGTGTTGCCAGTGATGACTTACGGATCAGAGACGTGGTCCTTCACTGCTGGCCGTATGAGGACGCCCAAGGTCGCTCAGCGAGCTATGGAGAGGGCTCGGAGTTTCTCTGCGTGATAGACTCAGAAATGAGGATATCCGCAGTAAAACCAGAGTGACCGACATAGCCCAACGGATTAGTAAGCTGAAGTGGCAATGGGCCGGCCATATAGCTCGAAGAACCGATAACCGATGGGGAAGAAAGGTTCTCGAGTGGCAGCCTCGTACCGGTAGGCGTAGTGTTGGGCGACCCCCCACTAGATGGAGTGACGACCTGGTAAGACATGCAGGAAGTCGATGGATGCAGGTGGCTCGGATCCGTGTTTTGTGGCATTGCTTGGGGGAGGCCTATGTTCAGCAGTGGACTTGTGAAGGGCTGTAATGATGATGATGATGATGATGTCTTAAGCACCGACTTCAGAAACTATTGTGAGGAAATCGATATTTTTAGTTTTTGAATTCGGTTTCACGGTATAATAGGGTACAATAGGTATATAGTTAGGTTACCCGTTTAAATCAAATTTAATCTTTTTTAATATGAAAATTGGGGAGGTAGGGGCGGCTTTATCGTCTCTACGTCCGGGCGGTAACAACCCGCTTTACGTATTGTGTTCTCTAAGATTCCATTTTTACTTTTAACAAAATAATCAACAGTTCCTTTCATTACTCCATACACAGACGTAATCGAAAATTGGTAGCTACAAATAAAATAAAAAACTTTGACATCGTGATTGCCTATCGCTTTTCCAAGAATTAGGGTTGTTAACACTGTCCTGACCTTGAGCGTTTGACTTAATGTATTCAAGTACACTACGGATACCAAATTAAAGTAGTTTTATATCGGGGTATGTTAACAAATTCCAAGCGTGCTAGAATTGATATTATGTAAAGTATCAAAGATAATTTCGAGATATCGTATGGGTGGAAAAAAGGAAGACAAAGGCGTATAAATACGTTAAACACGCAACATTGAAAGGGAAAAGAAATTATGGGAATAGCCTCGTTATCGGTACAAAGGGTCTCCAGTTCCTTTTTTTATAGGATAAGCGTGATAAACAGGCACACAACCCACCTAATAGGAAGTTATTGATGTGGCACATAGACATCTACATCTATCCTCGATTACGAATCAAAATGCAGATGCGTGGTCACCCGTGAGAACCAAGATGGAATGCCTCGTTTACAGTAAAAAAAGGTCTCCGATTCTCTATAGTCACCATACGAAACACAGCAGCGCATAAGCTGCTATTTTACACTAGTATAAACATCTTCGGACTCACTATACAAAACACAGCAGTATAGAGCTGCTATTTCACGCTGGTGTTCTGTGAAAATGTTGGTCCTCCTCCGGTCGAGCTAACTCTTTCATGTTACGATCATAATATAGCTGGAACATAGCTCTACGAAGTATAACTTGAAACTGTCCTACGTATTCAAAACTTCTAGTCAACCTAAGATTCGGTAAAACGGTATACGGTGAAAACGACGTTAAAATGGCATATCACGCGAACATTTCCACATGATGGCCGATAGTTAAATCACTGAACCCAAAATAAAGTACTTCAGCATGTCATAACTACTGCTTGTTATCTATAGATTTTGACTTGATTATTAGACCTGATGAAAATTAAATTGTATAATAATTATAAGCCCTCTAATTCTTGGAACAGAAAAAGAAACTTTTTAATTCAATATGGATTATAAATAATGCTTATTGAAAGTCACTTTTTTTTCATTTACCACTGGTTCGCAAAAAAAAGAACCAGTAAGAAACCCAGCGGGATTATTTTTTTTTAAATAACAGCTTACAATGATGTATGTAACAATTAAAAACACAAAACAAATTAGAAATAGCTTGGTAGCGATCCTAGGTACTATCATCCATAAATTCCTTAATATTATAATAACCCTTTTTATATAAACTTAGTTTTTGAACTTTGTGTATGACAAATTTTGTATATTTTCTGGGATTTTGTGGCAAAAGCGTATACATCGCCCCAAGAATGAATTATTGACTCGATGCAGTAGAGTAACTGGTACTACTAGTACTAACTTGTTATTGAAAATACTTTTTAATTTGGAAAACTAAAAAGATCATCTTTTTTCTATTCTACTGAATTGACACACGAATCTACAACCCGCTTGATGGTAAGTGGATACTGCAGGTGCAGCCATAAATACCTCCAGCCAACTTCACACAAAGAAGGCAAAATTGCTTTCACATCTGTGGATTAAGTTGGAATTCCTCGGAGCCTGTATATATACTGTTTTTATACCCTTAGGACCGAAATACAGTAATGCCAGCACTGTCATGTATACCTACCCAGACTTCTCGGCAGCAAACAAGTCGAACTCCCTAGTAAATATGAATAGTCAGTATCGGAAGTCAACTTAGTGACGGTCATAAGTAGATCTTAATTAGACATGGAACGAGTAATAATTCGCCGGGTACTCGGCATAGATTGGGCCGAGTACTCGGCCGAATATAAAATAAACGCGGTTGTGGGCGGCGCGCGGTTATTTCTCTTACACAGAGTTAGGGATGAAACGATACGAGTAAACTTGATACTTTTCGTTTAACTTAACGTTACTTTTCTTTCGATATCAAGTACTTTGGTACCGATACTTTAAAACTGAGTACCAAGTAGTATCCAAAGAAAAGTATGTACCCGACACGGACACGGCACGGACACAGACACGGACACTGTTGATTACTGATTACTTGACAAATAACTCATGTTCGAGAGATTGTTTTCGTTATCTGGCGCGAAAATGACTGCTTATAAAAATCTTTTTATCGAAAAACATCTAGAAAAATTATTGATCTTAGGAAACACATAAAAAAGTTAATTTCAGAAAAAAGCTGCTGCCGCATCAACTGTTGCCAACCCAATGATCCTAAGATATCCGCTGCAGCTGAGTTAGATCATTACTTAAGCGTACTAATGGCCGCAAAAGATGCAAATCCATATAAATGGTGGGTTTCTAATAAAGGCTATTACCCCATCTTGGGAAATGTTGCGGTTCAATACTTATCAACACCCGCCAGTGCAGTTTACAGTGAATGGCTTGTTTCAGAGGTGGGTTTAGTATATGAAGCAAAAAGGAGCAAATTAGACCCAAATAGGGCCAAAAAAGGGTGTTTTTGCATCCCAATCTTCCTCTCTTAAATTTATGATAACTTAAATATTAGTAATAATAATTTCTATTATAGATTCTTATATACGTTCTCAATTTTACTGCTGTTTTTCATATTCCTGATGTTTTAATTTGTCTAATAACATAATAATGATAAAAACTTGCTTTTTGTCTTGATTTTTCTCTGGAATATAATTAAGGTCGAGTACTCGGTGTTCGGCCGAACCCTAAAAAAAGGCCGAATCCGCCGAGTACCGAATACAAACCGAGTAGGTCGTCCCATGTCTAATCTTAAATACTTCTGTTATTATAATCTAGGTATTTTCTAATAGCTTCTGCGTCAGCTCCACGTCAAGTCCACTGCTGACAGTTCTCTCCCTGGTCATGACTCACAGTCACAGTACCAGAGTCGCAATACCAGACGTCTCGATGACGTTGCCGATCTGTATATTTAACACCTGTCGTAAATAATTTGTTAAAGCGCCATCTATCGGAATCCATAAGTACTTGTAGACATATTCCTCTGTTGCATCGTACAACAACATAATATAGGTAATTGCGGACATAGTTAATTAAAAGAACCATGTTGGACTCACTGAAAACCAGAGTTCGTTCGAGTTTCGGCAATACATAATCTGAGTGAGAAATATTATTATATCTTTTTAAGTTGTTGTTATTGAATTTAACTATACTTATATTTTTATGAGGGCTAATAATCTTACGCTCACTAGATGTCGCTAGTTGGTCAATACCAACTAGGGACCAAGTGACAATTCACTGCTGATTTACTTTAAATCTTTTACACATTTTTACTTTTTTTTAATTATTCCTATTTTATGAATATCCGTACCCAGTTTGGTTTACCCATTTATAATCTAATTAATATAATATATAGCTAATATTTCAGAAAGAAACTTTAATATCTAAATTTTTCTAACAAATAACTTCCCCGCAAATATTATGTCAAATCTTTCATCTCATCATTAAGTGGCGCCGCCCTGGTGGCAGAAAAAGTCAGTAAAGTGTATACAAATTAATATTTTATGTGTCTAATTTTGACGTATTTGCAGTACTCAAATTTTGCTTTCTTTCCTTTTTCCCTTTTCTTTCATGTTCTGTTTTGATGCTCGTATCTACTCAAAGACATTTAAGTACGTAGTTGTAATAGACCGGACATCAGCAACAAAATTGTCGTCTTAAACTTTTGTCCTACAGGATATATCTCCGATTTTTGTCATTTAGTTTTTAGTCTCAGTTACATCATCAAAAGGTCAACACGCATTCGTTTTATAAATTTAAAAAAACATTTTTAAAGAAAATATTCCCGGGTGGGCAAATCACAAAGTCACGATATCGAGCAAAAAACGAACATGATTTCGGTTTATTATCGTAAGAATAATGTATAATTATCAAATAATCTTTAAATTTTATTATTTCTAGTAGATTGTTCTAGAAGAAAGAAAAATAATTGCAATGAGTGTCCTCTGATATCCAGTAAAGTCACTATTTATTTACCAATTTGTTAGTAACTGAAAGTATAACTTGTAACGTCATAGACTGCTCACGTATTAATTTATCTTACCAGGCAACTGCGGTGCTGATCGTCGTGATCATAATCCAGGCGATTATCCTCGCCGTGTCGGTGAAAGTGACCACGGAGGACGAGGTGGAACTTGGCCGCTCCCTCTCCGAATCCTTCAAGCTTGCAAGGGACGATAACCCGAGACATGTGAAGATTTGGGCCAGGACTCAACACGATGTAAGTTCATTATTTTACAAAACAAGTATTAATATCGTAAAAGGCAATCGGCCAGCTAGCCAGCATAGATTAGAATATTCTTTATTAAATATAGATTTACTAGAATATTTATTGAAAGTTATTTATGATTTTATCATTGGTTGTTATTTTACCATTGGTTTGGAAAAGCCTTCGTTCTGGGAAGAACCATCAAGAAACACATGTCGATTTTTTTTAAATAATTTATAATGTTAAGTACTTATTATATATGAAATACAATTAAATGTGATATAGTAAAAAAATATGTTTGTAGGTTACAACATTTACTAACTAAAAAGTAACGCAAAATTATATATATATATATATATATATATATATATATATATATATATATATATATATATATATATATATATATTGTTATTTAAAACAAACTACCTCCACTTTTTTAATTATGTGCGAGCAACTATGCAGGTCTAGAGAGAGACCAGTATCACTGGGAACTAAAATATCTTCACATAAACATCTAAAACCTAAAACATCTTCATACAATCGCTGCTATGGCTATAGTTCACTGCTATGCCCTATATCTTCAATGAATAGGAGTTGCTTGGCTGTGAGCAATTTCACTTCTTCTGGGCTGAGTAAACACCTACTACCACACTAGGATTCACTAAAGGATTTTCTCCTGTATTGTGAAGGCAGTTTACATACATTAAATTGCACAAAACCAAACATCAAGACTCGGGACAATTATTTGTAGGCACAAATTACAAATTGCCTACGAGTAATTGTTCTCGGGATTCTAACCCACTGCCCTCAGCGCCGTAACTCATTGCTAAAACCACTGCGCCATGGAGCCGTCAACTATATTACTTTATAATATTTCTTAATGTTTTCCATCAGCTCAAATGCTGCGGGGTGTACACCGCGGAGGACTACCGTTCGCCTAAACTTCCCAGCTACTTCGCACCCAACGTTCCTATCTCCTGTTGTCCCGTTTACGATCCGGAGAGGTCTGAGCTTGTGCAGGAGAGGGAAAGGGAAACCTGCAAAGCCAGGAGGTTATTCTACGACGTAGGCTGCCGTAACTTGATCATCGACGTATTCAAAGAGACGTCTGCGACGGTGATGGGAGTGTCCTTACTTGCCGTTGTGTTACAGGTGAGGGAATAGTTCTCCAACATCTTTAAGAATTTATTTTATCAGTTCGCAAGCGAAAGCATCGCCCTATTTCGTAACGTGGGAAACAAGAGGCAACTATTAAATATCTGAGAAATATCTTATGGTTTTTAGATAGTGATATTACCATCCTGTTTACGTCTGAAGTAAATATCAACCAACTACCCCAATGCTAGGTATGGGGTTATTTACTTCTGACGTAGGGATGGGGAGCAGCGTCTATGGTAAGAGACGTCTAGTTCTATAAATCTGATCGTCTAAAAGCCGTTTTTAATTCCGTATAAAAAGCGTGGCGTCTATGATAAGAGACCTCTAGTTCTATAAATCTGATCGTCTAAAAGCCGTTTTTAATTCCGTATAAAAAGCGTGGCGTCTATGATAAGAGACGTCTAGTTCTATAAATCTGATCGTCTAAAAGCCGTTTTTAATTCCGTCTAAAAAGCGTGGCGTCTATGGTAAGAGACGTCTAGTTCTATAAATCTGATCGTCTAAAAGCCGTTTTTAATTCCGTCTAAAAAGCGTGGCGTCTATGATAAGAGACGTCTAGTTCTATAAATCTGATCGTCTAAAAGCCGTTTTTAATTCCGTCTAAAAAGCGTGGCGTCTATGGTAAGAGACGTCTAGTTCTATAAATCTGATCGTCTAAAAGCCGTTTTTAATTCCGTCTAAAAAGCGTGGCATCTATGATAAGAGACGTCTAGTTCTATAAATCTGATCGTCTAAAAGCCGTTTTTAATTCCGTCTAAAAAAGCGTGGCGTCTATGGTGAGAGACGTCTAGTTCTATAAATCTGATCGTCTAAAAGCCGTTTTTAATTCCGTCTAAAAAGCGTGGCGTCTATGATAAGAGACGTCTAGTTCTATAAATCTGATCGTCTAAAAGCCGTTTTTAATTCCGCCTGAAAAGCGTGGCGTCTATGATAAGAGACGTCTAGTTCTATAAATCTGATCGTCTAAAAGCCGTTTTTAATTCCGCCTAAAAAGCGTGGCATCTACGATAAGAGACGTCTAGTTCTATAAATCTGATCGTCTAAAACCCATTTTTAATTCCGCATGAAAAGCGTAGCTAATATCCAAATAATAAGCCTATGTTCAGTTATTTTTATGGTCTGATAAAAGATATTTTTTAAAAGATCAAATAAGAATACAATATAAAGATCATCTTTCATAAATAACATAATTGTTGTTGTGACTCTTAGTGAGCGTGTTGTTCCTGATCGACTTGACCGATAAGACTCAGTCTTATTCACATAGTATTTGTGTTGAGATAAAGATTCATAGCTACGCAAGGATTCAATAGATGGCGCTGTGGGTTGCCGCTCAGGGCTGGGGGCACTAACGTCTAGCAATCTAATATTTGAGGAAAACGGTGACTCGAAAGTGGTTCCGAGGACCTTGATAGCACTGGGGAGATGCTGGGGGCAGTAAGAACTGCCACCGGGACGTGCTTTAATAAACCAAAGCGAGAGAAGGGCCACGGTTGTGTTCCGAACGGAGATCCCGGAACTACTCGTATACGCTGATTGTGACCGCTGTGGGGTTTTAGCCGGTAGGATTCCGGCATAACCTTCTCGTTGCCCCCGCAGCGAAAAGTATCCATGAGTATTTCCCTACAAAAAAAAGGTTAGCTTAGGTTAGGTTAGGTACTAGGCCTTTATTTTGACATTACAAAAAGACAATTTAATTTTATTTATTTGTATTTTTATCCAATATATAAAAATACAAATAAATAAAATTAAATTGTCTTTTTGTAATGTCAAAATATGATGGATACGGTGATAAGTCAATTATCACCGTATCCACCACAAGCGTACTGATGAACACAATTCACTACAAAGATGGCTATGTATTAAGATGTCACCACTCCATCTAAGAAAGTTCCCAATCGGTTGTTTTCGAGCTCTTTAGAACCTGCTTAATGCCACTATTAGCCTACTGACGATGCGACGTAGTCCTAAATAGAGTTGCTGGCAAATCTATTTAGTAAAAAACACAGTATCCAAGTAGTAAAAATCAAATCGAAGACATTAATTTTAACTTTTGTTACAGATAATCACCATTTTGATAGGAATAATTTTAGAAAAGAAAAATACAGAACCAAAGAACAAGGAATATGATACTGACGCCATAGAAGTAGTACCGACAACACCAGCAGTAATGACAGATATGAAAACAAAACCGAAATCATAAGATGATCGATCTTAGCAATAAACCAATAAACCTTAAAATGCCAGATAATGAGGGCTAATAATCTTCCGCTCAACAGATGCCGCTACTTGAACTTTTTGTTACACAATGTGATTTATTTTAAGAATCATTTTTTAAATAAAAGTTTATCAGTTTCTAAAGTATTATATTAAAACACAAAACAATGCCCTAGTCGTTTGTTCTTTGATTTGTTGCACATTTTTTGTTATGATTCTGTGGTTCGATTTATTTATTTTTAATCTAATTTATAATAAAATATAACTAATGGTACAGAAAGATACAACTCTTACATTTTTCAAACAAATCTTCCCTGTTATGAAATCTATCGAATATTATATATCTTTTTTACTTGACGCCACCCTGGTGGCGTCGTGTGTCATTACAACGAATATAGTGTGATAAATGTCCAATAGATGGTACGTTTCTCAATATTGCAAACGGACTTATATTAACATCAGTCATATTGAAAACAATTATACATGGCGCTATTTTAAAGCGCAATCATTTATTTAGATTACATATTTTAACCCTTCTACTTTTTCTTTTTTACCTTAACTTTTAGGAAGAAAAAAATTGTTTAATTCAGATCTCACTTCACACTGTTTTAATGACTGGTTTATTGTAAAGATTAATATTATCTTATATAAGTATTATAACCTTATTTGTTATAAATCGCTACTATACAATTCTGAAGTAAAAGCTAATGAGACAAAAATAAGTTTTTGCTTTATTTACCTTATTTTAATTACAAACAGTGTCATCTATACGCTGATCTAAAAAATATGTCCTCCTATTACGTACTTAACTTTCATGAGATATTTAGTTGCGCCACTAGATGGCGGTAAAGAAAAGTAAAAAAATACAGTAAAAAACGATAGCAGTCTATATAGTAGTTTTGTATTCCTAGCAAATAATCAAATGGTGGGTTAAATTGGAATTATCATAACGTAAGTCTCCAGATTTGATCGTAATTTCATCGTGTTTATTAATTTGAATTGGTTTCGAAAAAGCTTTTATAATTGGGTTCAAAACATCAGTTTGTATGTGTTTGAAATCTTTAATTGTTAATTGAAAAACGTTAATATTAAAAATATGTAGTGTTAAAAAAACTACATTGAAATCACGTTGTATTTAAAAATTTACACATCTTTGTCAAGCATCGGTGGTTCAGTGGTAGAATGCTCGCCTGCCACGCGGGCGGCCCGGGTTCGATTCCCGGCCGATGCAAATATACCGTTTTGGTTCTAATATTATGCAGAATTTAATTTTAGTACATGAATGGAGCGCACAAGATTTTTGATTTAATACATTTTGTAAGGAAGATTGTTTTTTGTAATAGAGTTGTATTAGAATTTAAGCGAGTTGAGTAGATTGAAGCATGGCGGGGTGTGCACGTAGGGTGGAACACTTTTGTATGAAAAAAATTTTTTTTCTAGAATCTTTTTGGAATACCATGTACAAGTTGCTTTATGTAATTGTAAATAATATACCTTAATATAAAAACTCTAACTCGACTGCTTGAACTCTCAATTTCATTTTTCAAGTTTTTATAGACGCGTTGTATATAGTACACCCTACATACAAAATTAGAAGTAAATGTTATGTTATGCATGGAAATAATAAAATAAAGATTATTTTAGTTTATTTTGAATCTGAATACAGGTTAAAAAAGTTATGTCTCTATGAATAATGTTATTTTTTAAAGCAGTAATCCTTTTTTCCTCAAACTTTGGCATGACTTTTCGAGATGCTAATTTAGATTTATGAATCCCTCTCTTCTTTTCTTTTCACATACACTTAGAGCTGCTTCCGTCACAACTTTGACTTGATCTTGAACTTTTGAGGCAGTCTCATAAACTCCAAAACTGCATCTCCTCCGTTTTCAATGAGATCTTGCAACTGCTCATCAGAAATATTCATTAGTATTGGCGGTTCGTATATATTTTGTTGCCAGTCAATCAAGTCTATATAACAACGTGAATTAAGGTTCACTTTTGGCACCTCAAACATGCGCGGAACAGAATTTTTATTAGCTTGACGAGCTTTTAAAATGCGTCTTGCAGCGAGTTCTCTAATATGCTTCCGTGAATCTGTTATCATACTTAACAACATGTTTTCGGGATGAGCAAAGTAACTGTTTCGAATTAAAACAAGGTCCACTATCGCTAACAACTCGCTGGACAAATACCTAGTGCTGTTAATGAGCTTCCATAAATGTTTTGAACCATCTTTGCAGGATGAATGTGTTTTGATAGCAAACCAGACAGGGGCGTATGATTTTACGACAAACGTCGCTAAAATTACAAGATTTTCTTGTGGATTTTCAGTAGAAATATATAAACTAGTGATGCAACAGAACTCTGTTTCTGTTTCCGCAACTGCGGAAGTTCTGCATGGTTTTTAACATCCGTTTCTGCTTCTGTTTCCGCAAGTTTTATAACGGAAGTTTGAACGGAACGCAGCGACGCATCCACATATATAGATATATTGTATTTTTAGTTAATTAGAAATTTAAGTTGTGTGTGTAATTTAAGTGCAATCATAAAGCCAAAAACAAGTCCTGTTTGGAACTTTTATCTTGAGATTGAAGATTTAGCAGACAGATGTAAATTATGTAACAAAATATAATCGCGAAAAGGCTGCACAACTACCGCTTTAAAGAGCCATCTTAAACGCCGAAGAGTTTGCAGAGTTTGAGAAGTTAGTTGAAAATGTAAAACTTTCATTGCAAACTAAAAACAAATGGTCAGTCAAGGAATTGCATACCTATTTATTTATAAAATGAATTCCTATGTTATAGCCATATATAACCATATTTTATATATAACCAGATATTAGTTTAAACGTTTTTTCTCGAGTTAAAATAGTTTTTAATAAATGCCTTTGTTACAACTTAGATTTACAAATTAATTAGGTAGCAGTTATGTTTGCGTGAAGTTTATATTATTTATTTTTTACTTGAAGTTTATATTAATTATTTTTAAAGAAACTTTAATGAGTATTTTGGATTCAAAACTTATTTACGTCGTACTTCAGTGCTAGGATTGTACTAAATTACCTAGTCACTAAACCTAAACGTGGCTCTTTAAAGGGTTTGCCCAAATTCCAGTGCCTATTCAGCTTTGGTGATACGCAGCATCGCCAGTGAGCAATTATTTATCGGAGCTGGGTTTATATATGAAGAACACTATATGAAGAACACTATAATAGATTGTTAGGTGTAAAAGCGGCCGAACTACTTTCATAAAACATAACGTACCGCTACTTAATTTTGAATGTTAATTGAAAGTTTTATATGCAATTTTTTTAAATTATTATTTCCGTTTCCGCATCCGTTTCTGTTTTCGTTTCTGCAAAAAAATATTTTTAACATCTGTTTCCGTTTCTGCTTCCGATATGACACTTCTGTTGCATCACTAATATAAACGCAGTATGCGATTAGCTCTTGTTAACCAGCGGGAATGGGATAGCTTACCTGGGCTTCGGTTTGATAAATCAGAAGAGCAGGATCCACTTATGACAGCAGTAATAATTTCTAGTAAATATTTTTGGTCTGTACTCAGATCTGTTGTTGTTTGTGGAGGTAGATCACAGTCTATCTTCTCAAAGTGGGCCAACGACAACGTCTCGCATGTCTCTAATGCTTTACCAATTTGCCCTGCAATTGATTTAGGTCCTGAAGTAGGGCCATCCAAATAGGTAAACAAATGCCTCAATGGCAACTCATTGGCGTGTAAGAGACAAATTATCCATTGCAATGGTCGAGATAGTCTATTTTTCAAAAGACGAATCACGCCTCCCACTTTTCTTGTATTTGTGTTTGTTCCTTCACAGCCAACTGCCATTATACTCTCTAGTGATATCTTTTCAATCGTCAAAAAGCTATGGATAGCTCTTTCAATATTTCTTGCACTGCCCGATGCTGGAACAACATACCCAACGTAAACCTGGACCTGAAGTCTGAAGGAACCTGGTTCTTTTATAATCGAAATATGTTCCTCTTGTACAATCACTCTAAACCTCTTTGATCCTTTTAATACAGTTTTAGCCGTCTTGTCTTTTCTTCCATCGTAATATAATGCAGGAATTTCTTTAACTCTTTCTTCTGTTAAAATTTGCTCGTGTACTTTCTGTCTTATTCTTCTTAGTTTCATCCTGTCCACAACGTTAGTAGACTGTGCCTCAGAGTCGGCATCAGAAGCAGAACATAGAACAGATGATACGATAGCCGCTGCAGCTCTGTCTGATACTCCGTACCAATCGCATACAGTCATCAAATTATGAAGAGTGGCATCCGTGAGCTTTATAGGCTTTTGATCCACTGTTTAAGTGGTGTAAATACCATCTACGGCAGTCGAGCAAGAAGGAAGATCGACATTAGAACAAACTTCAGATCTATTTAGCCGATACGAAGTAGAAGGAATTTCTTTAATTCTTATATTTGAATTATGCCTGATTTCATGTTTAAGAGCACGTAATCTTCTATTCTGCAATTTTTTACTCTGGACAAGATCCGTTCTTCCTAGAACCAATAGTCTGTTAGAACATTGGTCTTCTAAAAATATTTGTTCCCCTTTTGGTACTTTTTTTTCTTTCACACAAGTACAGCTTATATATTTTTTACATTTACATGCAGCTATGTCAAAAAGCTTTTTACTTTGTACTTTAAACTCTTCTAACTTTTCTTCCTTAAGTTACTTTAAAGACTTTTTCAAATTATAACATTTTGAGTGATAACTTTTTACTGACTGTAAAACTCGTTTGTGTGTTGATTAAAACTACTTTTACGGATTTTATCGCGTTTTATTTATATTAATTTTAATACCCGACGTTTCGGGTGCTTTCCAGCACCCATGGTCACGGGGAACTGAGGTGACTGACGTCCCGATGTCAAAGTTAACCCGGAGTACCTTCAGATTTTTATTTATTGTTTTTGGTCCGATCTACGCAGAATGAACTAACTGTATTTTGAAGTCTTGCAG